TACTTGGCAGGGGCGAGGTGCAAGTTCAGCTTTGACTCTGATCTGTACCTGTCAGCTGTCAGCTATAGCCTCGCGCAGAAATGCAAAAATGTGGAGGCGAGAATAGTCCGTAGTGTAAATAGTTTACAGAATACAGAGTACAGACTAATTAGTCTAATTAGTTACAATTGTATGACGCTAAGTCCAAGTAAGTATAGTCCCGGGGGCAATTTAACAGGGGCATTTAGATCTAGGCCAGATGCACCCCCCTCCCTCTAGTGGCGTAAACGAGAGACATTGCCATTCTCACAGTTGCAATCGATTGTACAATATCCCAGAAGTGTAAAACGTACACATATTTTCAGCAGGCTGGACCAAATCCCTAAAGCAAGTTCTTCACGTTCCTCAAGCCGAGTTCCAGAATGTTAACGCAAGTATGTAGATCTTTGCCCCCTGCATGTTCGCTTCCAGGTAATAATACCCATGCCAAGGGTTCGGGATTGAGTTTGACCCAATTGCCATGCGCTCGTGTGAGAACAGACCTTGGTCCGTCCTGTCTCCACCGGCTCTATAACTTATACATCCCGTTCCCACACTTAGGCTCCTTTTCTACTATCTCGACTTTTTGACACGCGCGATCCTCTCGCGCAGGCGCGTTCTTTCTATAGGATAATGCAGCTTCGCCCAATATGACATCCTTGAACGGAGACTGTCCAGCTCCTTTCCTACAGGAGTCCCTCTTCCCAACCATCGGGGGGTTTGTCGATGGTCGTTATTGCGAGAACATATCTTTTGGCAACAATACTTACTCTTGCTGTCTGCCATGTCCGCTCGCTGAATGGAGATATGACGCTGGTGAGTTAGGATGCACTGGGTATATGGTCAGTGTCTAATGCGCTTCAGATCTGGACAAGAAAATCGATATCGCGAGCTGGATCAGTGTTGCTATTCTCCCGCTCTGTGTATTCTTGCTGGCTTCCTACGCTGTTTTACCGGTCAAATGGACTCACCGTCACTATTTGAGTATCTGCTTCACGCTAGGCATTTGTTGCATGGAGGTAAGTTGATTGCGCCTACTGTCATAGTCCAATACTAACGACGACTAGATCGCTTTCATTATCCCCCTCGGTGCCAAACCTCAACAATGTTACAATGCCATTACCCCCAATGACATGCACTCTGATCTGTCCTGCGCATTCTCCGGGTCTTTCTTACTATTTGGCGGATGGATGGTGGTGATATGGAGTTTCATTCGCACAATCGCCTTCCACCTCCAAGTCTGCTGGGAAGTCGTCCTCGGACCTAAGTTCATGTGGGGAGCCTTCGTCTGCGGCTTCGGTATCCCAGCAATCGGTATGACTGTGATGCTGATCCTAACGGGCGTCTCCTTCCGGTTCGGCGAGATCTGCCATATCAATGTCACCCACGCTCTACAGGACTACTGGATCCCAATCATGGTCTTCGCCGCCGCCGCGCTCTTCTTCCAACTTTCAACAATGGGCTACTGCACCCATATCTACCTACGCTCTCTCTTCGACAGTTCCGCCTCAACAACAAACAGCTCCGGCCTCCCCTCCTACGACGCCAGCGTGCGCACAGTAACCGCCCGCCAGGCCTACCGCCGAATCCGCCGCATCCTCCAACTCCAATGGCGCGGCGTAGCCCTCGTCTCCATCATCATCGCCAACGTAATCTACTTCGCAGTAGTATTCATCGAGCTCGACAACGCCACCGCCCCAACAGCCCAAAACGTCGAAGCCGCCACGCCCTGGCTCCTTTGCCTCGTGGAAACCCGCGGCGACAGAGTCGCCTGCCGCTCCGAAGCAGCAGCAATCGGCCCCAATGAAGCAACCCTCCTAGCAGTGGTATTCCTCCTCTCGCTAGTAGGCTTCTGGAACTTCATCCTCTTCGCCCGACCCTCAATGTTTGCCGGCTGGCTGGACCTCTTCAAGCGCACGTCACGCCGAAACGAATTCGTCTCCGCCGATGCGCACGCCCGTTTTGTTGATAACAAGGGCTTCGAGATGCTTACCACATCCGTTAAGAGCCCCGATACGTTCATGCGTTCGCCTAGCCCCGTCGAGCACCAGGACCGGGCCCGGAGTCCGATCACCAGCCCTAGTCCCGCTTTCGACCGCACGGCCCATTTCGGTCAGGAGGCCCGCTATATTCGTCCCTCTATGAGCTTTTCGGGGCCCAGACCGCCTGAGTCGCCGACGACGGTGCGTGAGTGGGATCCTCAGGCGACTTTTGCGCCGGGGTATACACGAGATTAATGTTCTTAATTGCTTTGTATTTGTTACGTTTACATGAGCTTTTTTACTATCTTTTTTTTAACTAAAAGAATTACTTATTTGATATTCTTTCTGATTCTCTGTTTCAATTGCCTCTCAAAACGAGGCTGGTTTGGGGTCGCGACACTGGTGTTACAGGGTTGTCTCACTCACTATTTTTACTATGCTGGGGGGCGTCGAGGCTAGGAAAAATTCCCACGTGTGTCTAGTTCGTTTCAACTTCGTCTCTAACCTAGAGTGGATATCTGTAGTTCCCACAGTTACTTTTAATACATCTGTATGTCAACGAAACATACTATGATTGCATCCCGTATACAATGCTCCACCCTCGACTCCAGTCTCGAATCTACTCCTATCCCCACTCATCTCCATTCTGCAATTTAAATCTTAACTCCAATTTAATTTGAGATTTAAATCTCGATTTCATCCACTGCGTTGTACATATTACTCTAGTATTAGAACTGAACCTCGCCTCGGTATGCCCGAGAGATAGATAATGTGATAGTGATGGGATGGCTGTGATCAGTGTATACAACCCTGACCCCTGTTCAGCACTGCACTCACTGCATTGTACTTCTGAATCCAAGGTTCGAGGAGTGGATTCCATAGGTGTGATTGTAGTTTCGACAGGTTCCGTACCCACATTCAATGCTACTTAAGTTACTGATCTTCCACCAGTACATGTACATGCATATTTACTGTAGACAAGCTCTGCAAGACCAGTCTGAACATTAACAGTGAATACCAATGTAATCCAAGTGCAAAGATAAACCCCCTAAACACCGTACAATAATAAACACTGCAATACACGTACCACATCCACAACGACGCAGCCACACGCGTCCCACAGAAGCGAACCAAAGAACCAAGGTAAAGAAAAGAAAAGATTGGCATATACAAAGGCTAAGCTAAACTAAACTCAGCTCAGCATTGAAACCCGGTAACTACCCGTCCGTACGATCTAGAATCCTTCGAAACTCAAATCAACAACCTAAAAAGCCAAGGCTAAGATCCCAGGTAACCACGGGATATGCGAATACGCACGGAGAATCTCAAAAAAGGCAACACCCTTACAAGAGAAGAAAACAGGACCCAGGGCAGGCAAGAAGGCTGAAACTAACCAGCCCCAACGTGGCAGGAGCGCCGTTCCTGCATTGACTCTCCCTAGGGGGCGCCCTGCCCAAGTGGGTGGAGTCGGGAGTCGTAAGCCCCGTTGGAGCACAGATCCCGGTGCCATGCGGCGCTAGTATTGTTACATGGACGCTAATTTAGGTGGTAATTTGATTAGGTGAGACTTCTAAGCGATTCTGTTACATTATTGTCATGGTAGAATACATCTGGTACCCGGTGTTATATTAAGAGGCTGGGTTTTGTTAAGCTACTTGGGCAGGGTCCGGGGTTCGAGGAGTTTATTAGATTGCCCTTTTGGTGGGATGGGTATGTGATGGCGAGAGGGACTTTTTGTAGTCTTGGGGTTTGTCTTGGTGTGAGTCTAGATCTGTTGTGTGTATAGGGTCAAGAGTTTTAGATTAAATTGGTTGACGGTTGACTGTCAGATGTTCTACAAAGGATTGAGTGGTCTTGTTTTTGGGGTCTGAGTATGGGGGGCTTCATTGTTTGACTTGGCCATTGTATGTTTCTTGTTGAATGGGGGTAATGGTAGTTAACTTGCATTATTTAGATATATTAACTTAACAGTTATAGATTGATCCCTATACTGTATACCCAAAGAGGCAAGCCATACCCCGCATCCACACCCGAACCCGTTCATTCAAACTGCAAACTTCAAACTTCAGTTCACAGTCCACGCCATTGACCGCATCTGGACCCAAAAAGTAGTCTGATCAGCCCACGCAATTGATCGGCGGACTCAAGCCTACCCTCCCCCAACCCAAAGTTACAGCATCGACATACCGAATGAGCATTAGCCCCTCTGCCCCACCGACACAGCTACCAGGGTTACTGGGATTGGAGTCGAACAACCGGCATTGAAAGTAGCCTTTCTGGGCCTAGGAGTGCGGGATTTACGGAGTACCGGGCTCCATGCCCATTGCGTAGTGTGCTAGTAGGTCGCATGTGGCATGTGGGTATATGGCATGAGGCATGTGCTTTAGCGGGGAACATCGTGTACACGCGTATTCAAGTCCGGGGTTCTGGGATCCGGGGTAGACGGCATTGGATGCGAACAGTTTTTTGGGATGGGGGTGTATCCATTGGGATCTACGGGGATTGACTTTGCACTAGGGAGCCTCATGAGGCGCCGAGGTACATGTGATTTCTATAGGCTTATGGTTTGGGGGCTTGGGGGTTAGGGGTCTTTTTGATGTGCTTGGGCTTTTTGTTTTGTTAAGTCGGTTAAGTTGATTGTCAATGGTTATAAAGGTTGTAAACTGGTGGATGTACAGTAGCGAAAGGTTATAACGTTATCTCCTACCCTATAGTAAACATCTAGCCCTAACATGCCTCCATACGGAGGACATACGGGTCTACAATAGATTCCATAGTGTTTGAGCATCGGCTGTAATGGTGTGGAATTCGCGAGATGTAGTAAGATAAGTGCAAACCCAGATGAATGATATAAAAAATAAAGGTCCTGTCATGTCCCTACTAGTATATCACTAGCCCGGCAACATAACTACATGACAAAACACATTCTTCAGATCTAGAAACACGAAATATAATCCAAATCTTGCAAAATATAGAAAGCAAAGAAAAGAAAGTAATCGTCTACAAACCACCAGCAGCACAAATTTTCTTGGCCTCATCCACACGTTCCGCATACCGAGTGGGATAAGCTGAGCCCTGCACTTTCTGGCAAAGCTTGCCCACCTCCATAGTCTTCCAGCCACTAACTCCCTTCATGCCTTTAAAGAACTGGGCGGCTGACTTTGCGGCATCCATATCGGCAGCGATGTCTGGGTAGTACTTGGCGCGTTGCTGGAAGATGCCCACACTATCATAGTCCGAACCCACGGCATCATGGGGATAGTTGAGTGAAGAAGGGACATCCTTGTTGGCATATATGAGGATGTTCGACTAAAGTGCGTTAGAATAGATTCAAGGAACTGCAGAAGAAGCCAAATAGTTCTCACCTCAACAAGAGCAGTTGCAATACCAGCAAGACAACCCTGACGACCTAGGTCTTCTTTCTTCGCTTCTCCAATGATAGCTTTGGCATGCTTGGACTGGGTCGATGAAAGACCAGGCAGATTGCCGCTGCTACCACCACCACCACCGCTGCTGCCGTCGCATTTCTTGGTAACGTAGCTGGAGCTACCTGTTTTCACGTAGTAATCGGCAACGTAGCAGCCATCGGCGGTCTTGTCCCAGATGCTGTCGCCCTTGATGTCGGTGCCGGAAGCTTGGCAGGTGATTGCAACATCGGCGCCCTTTTTGTAGGATTTGACCACGGAGTAAGAGGTCCCTGGGCCGGAGCGGCAGTTGACGGTGTCTCCGGTGATAGGGTATGCGTTGATAACGGGAGAGAGGAGTGCGAAGGAGAGGGCCACGACTTGGAAATGCATCTTGATGAGCTAGATGTTGAAAATTGATTTCTTGGTTGCTGAATTGTTCAGAGTATTGGGGTTTGCGATGGTATGAGCTGATGGATGAGTGGAATTCGGGGATTCAACAATCACTTTATACCTCAGGGGCCCTTCGCTGTTATCCCCAGAATGTTCACTGTGAAGAATGTGAGCCCTCGTTCCCTCATTTTGGACCCCACGGATCTCGTATAGAAACGTGCCCGTTTCAAGGCATTTCTAATTCGTGTTCGCAAATTACTTCCAAAATCCCGTGTCTAGAGCGAGCAACGTAAGGGGCTGAGAGCAATAGTCCGTAGGGCCAAATCTATTTTCGAACAGCAAATCTCGTATATCCTCGTGAAGAATCTAATGGTATGCAGGTGCTCGATGTTGACACGCTTAATCGGAACCTTGTTGAAGCTTGGCACTCGTGTTCCTGAGCCTTGTCTGTCAGGGCACAACATACACCCACTAAAAATAGCGTGGATTCATGCAGATCACCCGTATTTGATCCAACACTTTACTTGTGATTCGAGGGTTATCGTCGGGGGATATTTAGTGTATGCTACGTCGGAAAGTCACGCTTCTTAAGGGGCCGATGTGATAATTTTAGAGATTAGCAGGCTGTTGAACTCGTATCTCTTTTGGTCTCTCTTTTCGTGAAGCGGGACGAATGTTGAAACTGGACTAGGATACCATCTTTTCGAGGTCCACATCCATAGGCTTCGTTGAGTACATATATACACTTTGTCTTCTTGCACATGTATACGACTGAGTATTCTAGTGTGTGTATATGTGAGCGATATGCCAAGAACTGTGTGTGTGTGTGTGTGAGAGAGAGGGGGAGAGAGAGAGAGAGAGAGAGAGAGAGAGAGGGAGAAATCAGGTTTCTCTACTGGGCTTCTCTCGGGAGGCTTTAGGTCTATATAGGCTGGGGAGCACTTAACAATCTAAGGGCTACCAAGCCGGGAAACCCCAGCAAGAACTGTATAAGAACTGCACAAGCATCAAACGGAGAGCAACCTGGGAGAACAAGGGCGAGGCGTCGGACATAAGATATCGGCGCTACGCATCAGGCAGGCTGCATGTCTTGACAATCAGGTCCTGTCAAGTATCAAATCTGGGAACCAAGTCAGAAATGGAATCTATTCAAAGCTAGGCTAAATCTATGTAAGGGAACTGTCTCTCCAGAAACAAGGCATTTATATTTCTCTGCTTTTGTTATTTTCTAGGGACCATCCTTTCAGACATGTAATAAGAAGTTTGCCGATGAGATTTGGCCGAAGTATATACTATATATGTTCACCATCTTAGCTTGTTGAAACTGGAGATACGATGAATGACGCTAGGAAGCTATAGTCAAGGCCAACGAGGTTGTTTAGGTCTGATCTCTCCTCAATGAGAGAGAGATCCTATTTAATGAGGAGCATTTCCTCTGAACTATGCTATACATGGTAGGTTTAATGCTGATCATGAGCTTCATGCTTGGCGAAGCAGGCATTTCATGCCTGGAGATGCCTGGATAAGCCATGAATCTCAACATAGCTGATTGGGTATAGCATTCGATTTACAATGAATTAATAGGTCGACGTCACAAAGCTGCTTATTTCCCACCAATATGAATAGTATGAGCAAGTTACAGGGCTTCCTCTGACCTTAAGCATATATGACGTGTGGTCTCTCCACGGTGATTGTAGTCTACGTCTCTATGGCCGTTTTTGTATACATTCTCGGAAGAGCTCGGATCAAGCTTGAAAACTCCGATATCTCTCGCCTAATTAGATTAAAATCGAAAGACAAAGATCTTAGCTGATCTCTATCCACAAAGAAATCATGATCTGACATGATCTAGCCGATACATGAACTATTGGAGAACCCTGCGGGTGGATGCAAAAGGCCTTAGTGCACTGTAGTGGATCAGTCACACCGACTCGACGTCGAAGAGGCCAGATACTCGACAATAATGTAGCAGTTTGAGCTCACTACGTTGTAGATATTGTAGATAAACTTGAATAAGTTCTCCGTATAGATAGTTGCATCATCCCGAGAACCCGACGTCACCATGGCAGAAGGCGGAGAGTCGAAGCTCCCTGTTGTGTGTTACTTGTCTCCCCGCTCTCCCCAGCCACCTTCTTATCTCCCACACTCTTCGCGTTTTCTCTTTTCTCCCATTCATCTCATTTGGAGCATCTCTGATCCTCTACTTTTTGCTTCAAAAAAGTCCCCATGGCTCCTCCACCTCCCGCAACCTTGCCTCTGGGCGAGAGACTCAAGGCTTTGGCGCAGACCCTGCAGTACGTATCCTTTGATTTGTGTCAAATTGCGACACTTCAATGCCTTGTACCAGTACTAACGACATGTCACGTTGCAGGTTTGCTTGGTTCGTTGGGTAGGTCGACCTGCTAAGCACGCCATGAAGGCCCGAATTCGAGGTCACTAACAATCTCCAGACATGTGACACTGTTGCTCTCGGTCTTCCGCTACACCTTGTCTTGCATCTTCTTCAACTACTACTCCTCCTCCGCCCAGATCGCCTACCGCTTGACTTTCATCTCGGCCGCCGTGACTTATGGAATCGTCGTGTACAAGGGACACTTCGCTCGAGGTGCCCAGGGCACTCCCGTCCAGATTTTCACCAAGCTCCTCTCCGATGAGAATGTGCAATACCTGGGTGAGTGATTGGTGATGCGACGGTGATAATTGAAGCTTACAGGTGCATCAGGAATGGCCCTTGTCTGGCTGTACTCCCGCCAGCTCATCCTGGCTCTCCTCCCCTTCAGCGTGTACTCGGTCTTCCACGTCGCGACCTACAGCCGCATGTATCTGATCCCGACCCTGCAGCCCGCTGCTACCGGCTCCGCTGGCTCTGCCTCTCCTTCATCCCCCTCCAAGCCTGCCGCTAAGCAGTCGCCTCTCGCCGAGACTATTGGCCGATTCATCAAGCAGTACTACGATGCCAGCATGGGTGTTGTCGCTACCCTCGAGATCGCCCTGCTGTTCCGCCTTGTCCTGTCCGCCATCACCTTCTCCAAGGGCAGCTGGGTCCTGTTGGTTGTCTACCTGTCTTTCTTCCGTGCCCGCTACGCCCAGAGCTCCTTCGTTCAGCAGGCTGTCCGTCAGCTCACCGCCCGTGCCGACGCCTCCATCTCCCACCAGAGCACTCCTCCTCAGGCTCGTCAGGCCTGGGAGACTATCAAGGGTGTTGTGCGTCAGGGTTACGAGTTCACCGATATTACCCGCTACATTGGTGGATCTACCGCTGCCAAGAAGCCCCAGTAAATGTCGCAAAAGACATGTGCTAACTATCTTGCTTTCGATCCTGGGAGCTCCCGTTTCCAGGAAGTAACGTGGCTTTGGACAATTGCTAAAGGTGCTGATGCAAATTACGACATTCAGGAAATTATCTTTCCCGTTGTAATGTTCTCCCGTAAGTGATGAACATGGGGATGCAGGTGTATGGGACTTTCACGTCTCAGCTATAGAAAAGATGCGGACGAGGAGGTTACCCGCCATGATGATGCAATACGCAACGACATGTGTTTATTATTCTCTAGAGTTTTGCGATGCATAGTTTCTGTACTTGCTTTTCGCTTGCCAACATATCTCGTCTCGGATTCAATTTACTTATTTCAAGTGCGCAATTATTCTGAAAAGTTCTTCCACAGTTGACAATCCTTCAATCTTTTACGTATTGTTATTCTCCATGCTTTGTATGAGCAAGATAGCAATATCATGATGAATCGTATTCACGGCTACAACTAGAGAATACCTGGAAGAACTGGGGTATATAAGTCCTGAACAGAAAGACAACATCTGGGAGAGCAATATAATAAAAAAGGTGTCAACGACTGCAAACAATCTTCGGATGCTGGCTGTCCATGTTGAAAGAACGCTTTACGTATCTGACGCCGTGAAATTTCATAAGAAAAGCTGAAAGTAAGGGTGATGGTTTGTACGTGTATTTCGGTACTATCTGGTTTGATGTTATGTCCACGCTCTTCCAAACAGAATCCAAAGTATAGTTACCTTCAAAGCCACTCAAAATGAAGTAAATAAATATTGACGCCTCAGGTGTCAACGCCAAGTACTGTGACGAAACCCGTGATTGGGTGCCTCAGGCGGCAATATCGGGCTTGGCGGCGAGAAGCCGATCAGAATTTTGGCTGATCAACCAACTTGCAACCATAATACTCAACTCTTACCTCATTCCTTGTCGCTCCTTCTGTTACCATTATCTCCCAGGGGTGCTACCCTTCCAGTCAATCTCTCAGCACCCCCAGTTTCCCGCCTGGTCCCGACCAACACCGCCCGGGGCTCCAGTTCGGCGTGATATTGCCATGAGCCTGACCTCGCGAGTGGCCGGTCTGTTCTCGCCAACGCCGCCTTCGGACACATCCGCGACACCTTCGGATGAATCCTCCGCCTCGAAATGGGCACATCCAGGTCTCAATGAAATAAGTCACGCCCAGGATAGCGCTACGGCGCTGGTGGAAGAGGAGGAGCCTCGGCCGCCGTATTTACATGTATGATTGTTTCCGACGGCGTCATGATTTGTGCAAGGCTAATATGATTTCGGGCTATAGGCCATGTTGGCTGGTGGTACCGGAGGAACATGCGGTGACATGTTGATGCACTCGTTAGATACCGTCAAGACACGACAACAAGGCGACCCGACGCTTCCTCCCAAATATACATCGATGGGCCAGTCGTATGCAACCATTTACCGCCAAGAGGGATTCTGTCGTGGTTTATATGGTGGTGTGACGCCGGCCCTCCTCGGCTCGTTCCCTGGCACTGTGATTTTCTTTGGTGTATACGAGTACACCAAGCGTTTCATGATCGACTCAGGGATCAATCCCAGCGTTGCATATCTATCCGGTGGTTTCCTGGCAGACTTGGCTGCATCAGTTGTCTATGTACCATCCGAAGTGCTGAAAACACGACTGCAGTTGCAAGGTCGATTCAACAACCCGCATTTCAACTCGGGCTATAACTACCGGAATATGAGCGATGGGTTCCGTTCGATTGTGCGCCAGGAAGGATTATCAGCATTGTTCCACGGATATAAGGCTACCATTTTCCGCGACCTTCCGTTCTCCGCGCTCCAATTCGCATTCTATGAGAAGGAGCAGTCAATGGCTAAAGAATGGGTTGGAAAGCGGGACATTGGGTTAGGGCTGGAGATCTTGACGGCTGCCACTGCCGGCGGCATGGCTGGTGTTATCACCTGTCCGATGGACGTGGTCAAGACACGCATTCAGACCCAGAAACACGTCCCAGAGACCCCGTCCGGCTCTGGCACCAAACACACCGTCGAGCATGTTCCCAAAGAAAGCCCACGCCCACATGCGTCAGCATCTTCACATTCTCATACCTCACGAGCACACTCGCGCCCTATTTCCACATCAGGAGCCTCCACATCAATCTCACCGCCCGGCGCACCGCGCCTCCACACGTCATCTGTGTTCACCGGGCTGAAGATGATCTACCGCACGGAAGGCCTTGCGGGGTGGTTCCGTGGCGTGGGCCCACGCGGTGTGTGGACTAGCATTCAAAGCGGGACTATGCTGGTCATGTACCAGTACCTGCTTAAGCAACTCGAACACCACCAGATCCTGGAAGAACGACTGCATTGAGACATTTCATCTGCATTTCCAGAGCATTTTTCTTTCTTTTTGGGAATGGGGGCGTTTGGATTTACATGTTATGACCCCAGGTGCATTGAGCACCTTGTATACTGTGTGCGTGATAGAATAGACTGGGCTTATAGTCCCCTGTACAATAAATTCTCATTCAACTCTCATAGATCAATACCAATACAAATAATGTCCAGTAAATATAACAAAGTGTAGGGCAGCGAACAAAGAGGACGCGCTAGCGTGTTTTGTTTTGATCGGCGGTAAACAACCTGGAATTACCGATGCACCTCCCCTCCTTGCATCCTCTCTTCTCCCACTCTAACTTCTTTATTTACTTACTCTTATTTGATGCGCATTGGTCCGATATCCTCCCTCGCATCTTGATTCATTGCCATCATGTCATCCGCTCTTCCTTATTTGAAGTCGCTGAAAAAGGGCGACCTGGTCGAGTTCGCCGACTCAACCGACCTGAATGGGTGAGTTTATACCTGTCGCGCAATCGCGAACGTGGTCGCATGGACCAATTTGACTGATTTCTGACTTGTCTGGGGTATAGCGCAAGCGGTCTCAACAAGATGGAGCTTGCCGTTGCGCTTGACAACCACCTGAACGCGAACCGTTCCATCTTCTCAGGTGTCAAGTCGCTCTCTGAATACTACTCGCGCTTGGCCTCGCCGCCGCGTCGGGGATCGCCTGTGAAGCGCGAATCCAAGCCTCAGACTCCTGGTCCTGCGACAAAAACTCCTTCGCGCCGCGCGGCATCGGCCAAGAAGGAAGTCAAAGAACAGAAGGAAGAGCCTAGGTAAGAATGGCAATGTCTTTACATGCATGGAATGCCCCCATTTCGTTGTCGCGCATACTAATCTATGCATTAGTGAGGATGGTGAAGACGTGGCCGCAACCCCAAGTGTGCGCCAGACTGCGCGTCGGATCTCGCGCGCTGCGCCCATCACAGATTTGCAGAGAACTCTACCTATGCCTCCTTCTCCTGCTGTCGTGACAGATGTCATTGACCGCCAGGCCAGCCGGGTTCGTGAGGGGCTTGAGGATGCATGGACTTCGATTGGTGTATTGGACCGGTGCCACGCTGTGCGCGAGGCTCTGAGCAGCCTCAAGGCCATTGAGATTATTGTTCTGCTCCTCGAAGGAGGAAGTGTTGTGAAAGAGATTGTTCCCATCCGCTACCTTACCACGACTCCTCCCGTGCAAGCCGCGCAGATCCCCGCCGTTCCTATCAAAGTCCCTGACCTCTTTGTGCTGCTCACTGGAGCTTTCTGGGCGCCTTTCTCGCTTTGGCTCATCACCTGCCTTCTCCTGCCTCTCACTGCCGCCTATTTCATCAACCTGAGCTGGCAGGCCTCTACCACCGTGCGCCGGACTCGCTCTAGTCCCAACCTTGCTCAATTCGACCCATTGACCTTCAACATTGCCAAGGCGCTGCTGGTGTATATCGTTTTCGGCAACGACTTCAAGTTTTGGGGTGTTTTCAGCACTTTCGCTCTTCGAAAGATCTCAGCTTCTGTTCCTGGCGGAACTTTCGGTCTGTACACCGGGACTGCCGTTGGCGCAATCGGCGCTCTGTACGAGGCCATCCTGAGTCGTTCATAAACAGCATGTGGCTTGTACGTTGCAGGGCTGCACAATGACTCCAATGTATTGCAAATCGAGACAGAAATGCGATCCAGTAGTACTGGTGGCTTGCTTGCGCTGTTCTTATTTGACATTTACCTCTCCCTTTCTCTCTACGCTCTCTACGCTAATCCAGTATTCTTCTGGATTGGTCTCCCTACTGGTTTGATATCCCCTGCTTGAGGGGCTATCACATATCCCTCTTGCCGCTATGTATGCTTTTTTGATTGTTTGTGTTATTGTTCTCGAGGCTTGTCTTTTTTTGGTTTTATGCGTCCAAGTTTAGTTCTTGGGTATGGATGATGCGATATGCGATACTGGGTTTCTTTCTTCAACCTCGTTTTCTCTCTTTCTTGGTGTCTTGTTCAAGCCAGAGGAAGGCGCCCTCGGTGTTGTGTCTGGTTGTGGTTATTTGATTACTTTTTTGGGAGTTCCTCTTCCTTTTTTTTAATGACCGATTTGTGTTTCAAGTCTTAACATTGGGTATCAGAGAGTAATATAAGTAAAGCTGAAATGGTCATTTCATCGTTCACGCTCATGATCGTCTCTTCAGCCTCGTCGCCAACTCCACCGTAAACAACACCGGCACAGATGTCTCAACTTCCACCTTGTCCGCGCGGATATGGTTGCTCGTGGATATTTGTCCTCCAATCTCAGTATGCCATTTCTCGACATCCCACTCAAAGCCTTTGGTCGTGATCGAAGCAGGCGCGGAAAGCGGAATAATCCCAATATTCTCCTCAAAGAAATACTTCGGCTCATCCCCTTCACCCCGCTTCCGCTTCTTCGGCGACTCGGATGTAATATTCGCCCGTCTCGTCGCAGGCGTGTGGATTATATTCTTCCCAGTTTGAATAATGAACGTAATACTCTCCTCAGAAACAAGGTAAAGGTTTCCACCGGCAGCCGGCTTGGCGCTGGAACCCGTGGATTTGCTTTTGCTTTCGTTCTCGCGGATCGTGCATTGCGTCTGGGTCATCATGTATAAATGGTGGACTTGGGAGAAGGCCTGGTCAACACGGCCGCCGAGACCGCCCAGGATTACAATTTCCAGGGGTGAGTCCTTTGATTGAACGGGTGGCGTAGGAGATGGATCTTTGCTTGTGCTGCCGTTTGCTTTGACTGAGTCGTTTGGGACACGAGGAGAGGCAATGATCTCTGCTGCGTGTGCGTTGAGGTATTTTAGACATTTGGTGAAGTCTGTTGAGTATTGGTCTGGGTCTTCTATGATTGATACTCCGAGTTTCTCGTAGTGTTCTCGTACTGATGGTCGGATAGAGTCCAAGTCGCCGATTATGGCGTTGGGGGGCTGTATCCTCTGGTTAGAGTTATATCTTGGCTGGGCGGTGCAGTGCTGCTGTTTCGATTGGGAATATCTTCCCGAGCGAATTTCCAGTTCGGAGATACTGCAAGGTAGATTTTATAGAATAGATAAATCTCACATCATTAGATTCGGTTCCATTCAATTTCATCATGTCGTACACTCGATTGGCGCCTCCATCGGCACAAACGATATAAGACGCTGAAGTAGGGTCAGCATATCTTCTCTTAACAGATAGATTGCCCTATGGATTTCCATGTTATACTCACCATATTGGCTTAATACTCCGAATGCGTTCTCGTTGATTGGCTGATTGAGGATGAGCAGAGCGTACGGAGACGGACTCCCTGACACACGGAAGAAGCGACTAGGATCCCACTCCATTGAAAGAGAAGTACCAGATTGGATCTAAAAGTCAAGGTAGGTGTTCGTGAAAGAGTCCGAAGTGACGATATAATTATGAGCCCCGGTGGAACGTGACTGGCTGACCGAGCACGATCCTCAGGCCGAAATCCACATCCAACTTCTTCCGCGCTTCGACTTCCCCGATCCCCTCAACACCTTCTTGGAGGACCTCTCGATTCTCACACAATGTTCCGTCCCGCCGCTCGAGCGCTCGCCCGCGCGCCTGCTGTCGCATCCCGTACCCCGGCGACCAGCCGATTCATAAGCACCGGTCCGACCAAGTCGAGAAGCTGGAAGAACACCGTCGTCCGGCTGGGCTTGGCTGGTGGTGCTATCTACTACTATAACACGAGCAGTGTCTTCTCCGAGGAGCCGAAGTGTATGTCTCGCCGATTGGGTTGCCCTTGTTTCTCGTTACCGAGGGTTACAAACCGCGACAATCCTGTCAACGCCAATGGTATCTCCGGATGACCAATCGTCGCTAACTCTTCTGTCATCGCATTCTAGTCTCTCTCCTCTCTTCCAAAAAGCAAAATGGCGATGATGCCACCTCCCAGACCCTCGACTCCATTACTCCTAAGATCCGTCAAGAACGCGCCGCCGCGCAAGCGTCCGAGCCTGCCGCTTTGGAAGGTGGTTTGAACGCCCAGGAGCTTCAGGAAGAGGCTGGCCAGGAGGCCGCATTCAACCCGGAGACTGGCGAAATCAACTGGGACTGCCCGTGCCTCGGTGGCATGGCCCACGGGCCATGCGGAGAGAACTTCAAGGCTGCGTTCAGCTGCTTCGTCTACTCCGAGGAGGAGCCCAAGGGCATTGACTGCATTGAGAAGTTCAAGTATGTTGTGCTGGTATATTTGACGGTGACGTTTATTTACTAACGATCTTCCAGGGCCATGCAAGATTGCTTCCGTGAATACCCCGATGTCTACGGTGCGGAACTGGAAGACGACGACGAGCCCCAGGGCGACGCTCCAGCCCCCTCCGAACAGACCCCCATCGCCGCCGAGGTTGATACCGCCTCTCACCATGACGAGAAGCAAACCCCCGCCAAGGACGTCAACACCCAAGTGAAGGCCGAGACTGCCGCCCAGGGTGAGAACACCGAGGGCGACTCCCTCGTCCCCAAGGCTGCGTTCGATGCCGAGGATAAGAACGAGTCCAGCAAAGCTTAGAGCTGAACTCTCCTTGAAAACCTGCATTCTGTTTGACGCCACCCTTCCCCCGAGGCAATCTACCTGTCTCTCTCTGTAATGCACATCAGGGACAGGGATTGGAGTTTTGTATTATATAGACCCTTCTGCCATCTCTCCATATCCCGTTTTGATCCGTTGATGCATGCATCCCTCTGATATTTCAGCATATCCATTCCCCGATCTGCGCGCTCCCATTTGTTCCTGATATTTCCTCTCTGTCAATGTGTAACTATGTGTATTGGTATGCTTCACGCTGTTGTCCGCTGGACAAACAAAAGAACGAGGGGAAATAGAATAGACTTGTTGCATTATAACCTATACTCCGTATATTCTTTTGCATGTTACATTCGGAGAAAGCGGTATTTTGTTCCTATTTCAAAGGTACCCAATAGCCGTTTCGATAGATCATAGCATTACTATATACAACCTTTATTCACATTAAACTGGCATTCAGCCATCACAGCCTGTGCTTGCCTGTCCGCCAGCGATATAAAAAATAAAACCCGCTCCTCCAATCCAAAGAACCCAAGATTAAAACACCCATCCATCTATACTTCCTGACGCTTCGAAGGACTATTAGTCCCCTGTTCACGCTCAAGGGTATACTCCGTCGTAACACGAATAGCCATATCACGCTGGGGGGCAGCCTGTTCAGGCTGCCCAGCGGCAGGCGAAACAACCCTCTCGCTGTCAAGGATATACTCCTGACTCCCATCACGGCTCAGCTTCGTCGTATTCAAAACACTATCGAGCTCGAAATTCCCACTCCTCCTCGGGCGGGAAGTAACGAAAGTCTTCGTCTTCCCGGACGCCCTCGACCCAAACGCATTATACCCGTCGCCGTGGTAGTACGGGGATTTGGAGTTCTTCTGGTTTGACGAGCCCAGCCAGCGTGAGTTGCGGAAGAGTGGCTTGATTCCTGGGAGGGAGACGACAATTGCCGCGACAAAGCATTCTCGGTCGGCCCAGCCTAGGGCTATTGGGAGGTTTGTGATTGAGGTGAGGGAGTAGTAGGCTCGGAGGACTGTGCAGATCATGATGAAGATTCCCGATGAGAACATTACCACTAGGATTAGTTTGCGTTGGAGGGGAACTTGGAGTTTGGCGAGGATTGGGATAGGAATGAGCATTATGCAGAGGTCCGATCTGGTTGGATGGGTTAGGGCTTTGGTTGAGTAGAAGAGGACTGGGGGAGAGCTTACAGCACGTTAAAGACGGCGATCACGATGTATAATGGGCCTCTGAGAGTGCAGTTGTCTATAGATTCAGTAAGCTTGGGTGTTTTCTCTTGTCTTGACAGGACTGGTGAGAATTACCTCCGGGATAGGGCTTGATTTGCCAGTTCCGTTCGACTGGTGCGCACAGACAGATGTGTGTCAAGAGACATGCAAGCCAGGTCACCACGCAGAACCCTCCTGCTGCCGTGACGAGATGACGGTACCAGATTCCTTGTCTGTCATGTGTGAGATGGGGAAACAGATAGTCATAGATGGTTATTGACATACGTGAGCTTCCAGTAGAGACAAAGAAGAACTCCTTTCAAACACCAAATATAGCAAATATACCATATCCAGTTCATGAACGCCAACTTGGATCCAAGGATCATGTCGTGCATTTTGCTATCTGGGACTAGCATGGCTGTCTTGTCGTCTAACCCAATGTTGTTGCCAAATAGCCCTGATTAGATGTCAGTCTTTGGAGTCATCATGGAGCCACCGTCTGTTCGTACCTAGTAGATATATGATGATGGTCTGCATAGTCCAAAATATCTGTTGTAACAGTGTCAGAACAAAATCACTTATCACAATTGAGTAAAGTCTGACGTACCATTCCAGCAACTGCGAAAGCATCATCAAGTCGGAGCCCACGAATACCTCCCGTGGTCAACCTGGCATATAACCGGACAATCAGAAAGACCATCCCAATGCCATATTCTGTGAAAGTCTCAACGGTCAAGGCATCGGCCGACATGGTGGCTGTTCAAACGAACGACTATATCAATTGATCAAAGGAGTTGCCTTTGACAGAGATGAATATAACAAGGTCCATAAAAAAAGAGAAAGGAGTGATATTAGTATCAACTAGGGCGATACTGTCAGCGGGATCGCCGTAACTGATAAATCGAGGTGGGCAACTCGGTACCTCAATCACGCTGCCTCCGAGATCTACTCGATAGAAGAGTGGTAGTTTAGGAGACACGTCCCTTGTGAACGATCGAGCTTCTAGCCCCCTGGTCCGAGGAACTGGTCACTGGAACAAAATTCTAACAACATACAGTACACTTGATGGGGCTGTTCTGCACACTAGTGAAGGGTAATTCTCCAACTGAAAAATCCGCCAGTTTGGCCCCGAATTTAGCCCACAGACTAGTTAGTATGAGGCAGGCAAGAGGCAAATGCCGGAGCAGGATCTGACTATCTTCGTCTGTCCGGAATGAGGATTCCGATCCGTGGGGCTTCTGATTCGAGAAGTGGAAAGGCCTGTTTCAGACAGAAATTGGCAGGTTGATCGCCCTTCTGTCAGACTCAAAGACAGACACGGCTGTGGAGACCCTGCTGCAAGTAGATAGCCACTGACAGCTTCCGGGATTTGCCATCTACAGAGTCCATACATGGGATGATTCATATTTGGTCCAGGCGGTTCTCAGCCGTCTTCTGTCTGTACATGACACATCTATAACGTTGAAAAAATGGCCAAAGTTGCTTTGATTACAGGAGGAGGTAGGACCATCCTCATGTATGTGTATCCATGAATAAAGATACTAACACCTAATGATATAGCAAGTGGAATGGGCTTAGCAGTAACAAAAGCCCTATCCGCACGCAACGACTGGCACATTCACATCCTTGACATTGACGAAGAGCGCGGAACCCAGACAGCAAAGGAAGTACCGAGAACAACATTCCATCGCGCAAATGTGACCAAATACAGCGATCTTGCAGCAGCATTTCAAACCGCGTTCTTGGAAAATGGAAGTCTGGATTTTGTATTCGCCAACGCCGGAGTCATTGAGCGGACCAACTTCTACGCCACACACTCAGAGACTGGCAAGGATGTATCCCCTCCACCAGAGCCAGATCTGCTCTCAATCGATGCCGATTTAAAGGGGGTCGTCCTAACCTCTTATCTGGCTCAGCACTATTTCCGCCATTCGCCCCATGGGGGCAAGGGTTCTAGCCTGGTGATGACCGCTAGCTGTGGTGGACTATATCCATCTTTTTATTCGCCCTTGTATTCTGCAGCCAAATGTGAGACTCTTGTTCCCTGTTCCTGGTGTCTCATACTATCATATGTTGTTGTCGATATGATCTATCAGCTCTTATCATATCATTCTAACCCTACAGTACTACGGTAAACCTCTCAGCCTAAGCTAACACCCTCTTCTACTCTAGTCGGCGTTGTCGGTTTCATGCGCTCTATCGCCCAGCACTTCGCAGCAGGTGGAACCCGCGTCAACGCTATCTGCCCGGGAATCGTCCGAACCAACCTCGTCGACTCAAACGGCTGGGATAGTTTCCCACCGGGCCGGTTCATCGAAGTGGAAACGATCGCCCGTGTGGTTCTCCAGCTCGTGGACGGGGGTGAACCCGCGGGCCAAGGGTTGACAGATTCTTCGGGCTCGCATCTGCCCCTTTCCGAATTGTATGGAGTCGCAGTGGAGATGTCGGATAGCGGGTTATACTTCCGTGATCAGCATGCTTTCTGCGATGATGGGATGCGGGAGGTCATGGCGGCGACAGACGTCGGAAACCAGGTGGGTGCTATTCTGAATGCTGATTGACCCTCTTTGCTTGCGGCATTTGGTCGGTTTTGGCATGGCTTGGGGGGCATATGTACTTAGTCAGGTCGGGCATTACATGTAGTTTAGCAGACTAATGGGGTCGCATCAAATTTTACGAATCCTTCAGCATGTCTCCTTCTGTATTGGGTGCTTGGCAGTCTCGTAGCCTTTTACTGTACTCTCCATCCATGGATGATTCCCGTCTTTATCCATGGATGGAAGCGGGACTATCCGAGTATTTCCGTGACGGTACAATACGAGAAGTCAACATGTTAAAGAGTTATCCCTGGAAAAAAAGATCCTACTCCCTCGAACTTCGATCTGGGGTATATGATTTGAAAATCGAAGCTTTTTGCCCCAGTGGCATGATAGTATCCATGTTATGCACCTTAGTCACCAAAATATCAACTAAACCCCGATCGGAAGGAATTCGGAATTCGGAATTTTCGGTCAACTTCCTTGCATTTCCCATACCAAGTATTTTTTTTGGCCCCCAATTGCACTCGGAGTAAATTTAGGCTTTGCTCCACGGGTCAGCCAAAGGCGTTTAACCGGCGCCAAGGTTGTTGCAGGATAATCTGTATGCCGCACATGGAAACAAAGATACAATTTGCACAATCACATGGGTCAAGTGGCCCAAACGCAACGCAATGTTCAACCCGATATCTCAGAGCCGATCGATAGCTTGCGTTCTACAGTTGACAGAAATCATGGTACACGGGCCGTACGGGGCGAGCGTCCCTTGTGGAGTAAAGCTTGGACAGCTCCAGTCTATCCCAATACTGTATAAGTTACGAAGTGCAGATCCTCAAGGTGGACAGGGGCGAAACGGGTGGATACTGTGCGAGATTGCACGAGCGGCAAGAAACATGTCTTATGATAGATGAGAGCTCACACTTACACTAGAGCAGACGTTAGACCCACACGGAACAGAATGCTGCTGCCACAAATGAAGAAAAATATATTGTTGGCTGAGTACAGTAAGATCAATTGATTGAACGACGATCCCGGTGGAGCCTATTTGTACTTGTGGCGGCTAGTGAAGTAGGGCATCGGTAGTCTCGGGCGAGACATCACTCTTCCCCGGTCTTATGGGATTGCCTCCGGCAGCTGGGAATCTTCGCCATGCATCATGCGGAACAAAGGTTCCCAAACAGTTATGGCTCGCTTAGTGATGTGGCCATTCCCGGGTTCGGGC